TATGGTATATTAAATATTACCTAGTGCTACAGACTTTTCCTGGTCAATATTTAGAATATTTAGCATTACCAAAGTCTGAAATATCAAAAGACGAACGTTAATTGAATGTTTTCTTTCTGTTTAAATCATGAGATCTCTTTTCCTTTTACCTTTTTATTTCTATGAAATACTGTGAAGCACTTTGAGCTGCATTTTTATGCATAGAATCTGTTTTACAAACACACCAAGTTAAATAAATGAAGTATCACATTAGATCACGTCCTCCTTCAGTCGTCTAACTACTGCAAGTGCAGCTTCTGCTAATTAAAGCAATCTAACCGTCGCCCACATCATCCATGACCATCAATCAGGTATAACAACACCTGTCGCCGGGTATTGTTCCCCCGCAAACCGAAAACACACTTCTACAACAGCGACTGTGTTTCTGAGACGCCATGTCAGCCTCTATAGGGCGCGGACGCAAAACTGGTTAAGTGGCGTCTCCTTTTTTTATTTATCTTAATTGCCTTTCTTAATGCCGCCCGTTTACCTTCGGAGGGGTGTCAAGTCTTGAAAGGCGCAGCAAGACGAGGAGATGGGGCGCTCTTAGTAAACAAAGCGCATGTTTTGACTCGCCACAAAGCAGGCGGGTCTCCAGCGACGGTGAGGTGGCAGGAGCAATCGCTATCGTCATCAAAACAAATTAAACCAAACAAAGATCAAGGACGGAACGAGCAGCGATAGCGTCGCGCTATTTACTTATTTGCAGAGAAACAGACAAAGAACGAGGGCAAAGGCAAGAGGCCTCCTTTCTGCAGCACGTAAAACCCTCCCTCTTGATTAATACGGGCCGATTAGCACAGACAGACGAGTCCTGCCTTTCTTTCTGTCTTCCTCTCCTTCCTCCCCCCGCGCGTCTTTCAAATTCTCCCCTTCATTATGTCAGCGAGGCAATTAATTTCTGAAAAGCCTCAGTGACTCGATAGTGGGAGGCTGTTTTGTAAAGAGAGAGAGAAAGAGTTTGAAAAAAGTTGATCAAAAGAGCGGATTCTCATGCAGGACACATCACAGCCGCGCTCAGACACTGATCCCAGGCCCCGCACGCTGCGTATTCTGTATGTGTGGCACATTTAGCTCGCTGGCGAGGTGCTCTCGGAAGAGCCGGGATCGATGGACCACCCTGCGTTTGATTCCCCAATTAGCTGTGAGACAACAGGGTCACTGCCCCGTGTCAATGCCCCCCTTCGTTCCCCTCATTACAGTCAATAAGAGCATTAGATTAGCTGCCATTAAGCCTGGGGAGCTTCAGCCAAGCACATCTAGCTGAAAACACACATTCAAAACCACAGTATGTAGGAAATCTCACTGTACCTCAACAGTTTAGCCCCATTTTAACACTGATTTACTCCTTTCCCAGTCAGGAGATCAATAGGAAGTGATTGACTGCACAAGAGATCTGGTGGTGGGACTTTCAGCTCCTCAAATCTGCAGACACACCTCCAAAGTTCAGTCTTAGAAGCTGGTTGATCATTTTCTGAAGTAATCAAACACTAACAGTGGTGTTGAGGTCTGGACTCTGGGGTGGTCAGTCCATCATTCAGCTTCTTTGTTTGATGTGTCCGTCTCCTTTTCTCAGTGAGGTTCTTCTTGATCAGCTACACATCCTTTCAGACCTTCAGCGCTGAGTCGTCTTCTCACAGTGGAAGGATGGACAGAAACACCTGTGGATGTTTTCAGATCTGAAGCAGCTTGATTTTCTCCTCTCTCTCAGAGATGAAAGCTTTAAGTGCTGTTTATCTGATGGGGCAGTTTTGGTGTCGACCAGCTCTTCCAGGTGGTTGTTAGGAGTCTCATTTTCTCTGCAGCTTTTAAGCATCATTTAAACTCCAGTTTTGGAAACTCCTGTTTTTCACTTACTTTCCTTCGTCATGCCAGCAGATCTTATATTAGAGTTTGGCTCAGTGAGCTGCTTTAGCTCCAGACTGATCAGAGGCCTCTCAATATTTTAAACAGAGTTGATTTTTTCTACCAAAAACCTTCAGACATTTTCAAACCTGTCTGATTTTCACTACTGAAAAGATTTCAATGTTTTCAGACATCTGGTTTTTTAACCACTGGAAATGTTTACATATTTTCAAACCTGTTTGATTTTTACATTGAAAATGTTTGGATATTTTGGATTATATTTGATTTTTATAGTTTAATATGTTTAGATATTTTCAAATATATTTGATTTTTACAATTAAAAAAGGTTTTAATATTTCTTTAAATTTTCCAGTATTTTCAGAAATTTGATTTTTACAACTAAAAATGTTCAGATATTTTGAATCATTTGACTTTTATGGCATGTATTTTCTGCAATTCTGATATTTTTCCATATTTTCAGATGTTTGATTTTCAGCACGGATAATCCCAAATGTAGTTGATCAGCCAAGACATGTTTGTTGTAAAAGTTCCCCTCAAATTAAAAGAAATTGTGTTTTATGATCATAACATATGCTTACAATTTACTGCTGAAAGCCAAAAACCTTAGAATGCTCTTTTAATTTCACAAAAAAATCATTTTTACAGAGCCTTTCATTGAAGAGACGCCATCTGTTTATAGTTTATAGCCCAAATTTTGGAAAAATGGGTCGACTTTCAGTAGACAAAAAAATTAAGTTCAGCTTCTTTTATTATAAGGGTTTAAAATTACATCACTCATCTATTTGACTGGAGAGAAGACAGTTACAGCTCTCATACGACCCCCACCTTTAGAATGGAGCTTATGAATTATGAAAGTTCTGAAGAATATGACGAAGTGCGTTTTGGAACCACCGGTGGTCTCAAGGAGTTTAAAAGGTTAAAGCATGATGTTGATTGATGGGCTATGAGCTTCCATTACTTGTTAGCCACATTAGCATTGTAGCTACAGCGCTAAAACTAAAGACGCAAACTTCAGACACCAAACACGTCTCGGCTGATTTGCGGAAAGGAGAAAATGATTTGACCACTTCACCACCGCTGTTCCCTCCGCCCTCCTACTCCCACATCAATCCCTCCATCCATCCCTTCATCTTTCCCTCCATTCTCTAAAAGCTTTGTCCCAGGTCTAATTTGCCTGCAGCACTAAAAGCAAAGAGAAGAGAAGCGTCCGGCTCCTCAGATCCCTCCGATAATTCTATTGGACGCTTCTAATTAAAATCAATGAAGGCTATTACAGCAATTATCTCACCAAATGGGACTGTATTGTGTTCACTCAATACATTTGGTAAATTCAGCCCGTCCTCTTATCGCGGAGATGGCACACGACTAACTACACGGTACCTGGAAACAAAAGCCAGGCACAATGCCTCGCCTCAGGAAGGCAGACGCGAAGGTTCCTTTGTGTTTCCAGAGCCCCCCCACCACCACCCCCAGCACTCTACATGACACCTTGTGTGTTTCTACGCTGGGTCTCTTATTTGTGAAGAAGCAGTGAGGTAATGGCACTGAAGACATCAATAAGTGGTTAGCAGGAGGTCACGTTCGGCCAGCAGAGGTTCCAGCATCTCTCGATGGGTAACGGCTGCTATAAGTGGTTAGTCGGGGCGTTTTGTGGTCAGATTGTTATACTCTAAAACCTCTGTGTGCTCTGGACTTTAAAACAGCGCCCAGGTTCTGAAGCACAGCAGCTATTGATCTACAAAAGGTAAAAATATTAAAAATTAAGTTGCAGCTTGGAGAAGCAGAGTGAGCCTGAAAACGTGGCTCCAAACAGTTATCACCAAAAAACATGGTTTAACTAGACATGAATGGTTTCTGACTCGTGGCTCATTGAAACGAGTGGAGAAATTGTGTAGATTCTTAGAATCCGAACCACATTTGTGTTTGATTGTTGTGATTGTGTAGAGTCTTGTTTCGAGGAAAGAATAAGAAATGTGTTTCTATTTGGCCCCATTTTTGTCATCAAGAAAGCAGAAAAAGTCAGAAGTGCAGATTCGAACCAGTCAACATAGAATAGAAATTTAAGTTAATGTATATATGATTATGTAATGAACTATGCAATTAAATTTGTACAGATGAAATTAAGCCAACTTTACATGCACCGTAAACAATTTCAGTGCAAATTTACAGCTGCAATATACTGTTAATTAGCATATTTGTAACTTGATTTTGTGCAGCCCTGTATTTCTAATGCACAGCTTATATGTGCTATAATGTGCACCTACATCTATTATGTTATATTATATATATATATATATATATATATATATATATATATCGCTGTTGTTGGAAAATTTTTCTAAGCGCCTGTCCAGAACTTTCCTATAATTTTAGAAAGTGGAAGGATGTATTTCACTGAAAAAGCAATTGGTTGGTTGGCATTACTGCTACTGAGCGCTGATTGGTTAACATTACTGCTACTGAGCACTGATTGGTTAGCATTACTGCTACTGAGCGCTGATTGGTTAGCATTACTGCTACTGAGCGCTGATTGGTTAGCATTACTGCTACTGAGCACTGATTGGTTAACATTACTGCTACTGAGCACTGATTGGTTAGCATTACTGCTACTGAGTGCTGATTGGTTGGCATTACTGCTACTCAGCGCTGATTGGTTAACATTGTTGCTACTGAGCACTGATTGGTTGGCATTACTGCTACTGAGCGCTGATTGGTTAGCATTACTGCTACTGAGCACTGATTGGTTGGCATTACTGCTACTGAGCACTGATTGGTTGGCATTACTGCTACTGAGCGCTGATTGGTTGGCATTACTGCTACTGAGTGCTGATTGGTCGGTGAGCAGAGGAGCTTATTGGCTGAGTGAAGTGGAGTGAATTCTATGCAACTAGTTGAAGGGTGTAAGTTGCAGAAACCTTTGACAGGTACAAATAGCAATTTTAAAATAATAAAAGTCTCATTCAGTTACACCACCATAGCTAGCGGATGTTTTACTGCATTGCTCTGGCTGTATGAAGTAATTAAGGAATCTGGAAATGTCCTGAGAACAAATCCAGCAAGCGCACACATCACTGAGTACTGAATTTAGTTCATACCTCGTAAAGAGTGATGATGCCGTTGGTCTCGTTGGGAGCCTTCCACTGCATGAAGATCTTCTCCTCGTACGGGCCGGTCTGGATGGACTCCATAGGAACTGGACCGGGCACTGCGGAGACACGGACACGCACATTTACCAGCTTCAGCTTTTATGACTGTCACCATTGAGGATGTTAGTAATCGATTTATCTGCTGATTATTTTGATCATTTTATTGAACGAAAACTCTGCAAAGCATTTCAGAGACTGCAAGATAGATAGACAGACAAATAGGCAGACAGACAGGCAGAGAAATAAACAGAAAAATAGATACACAGACATACAGGCAGGAAGATGGACAAATTGACAGGCAGGCAGACAGACAGAGAGAGAGACATAGACAGAAGAACAGACAGACAGAAAGATAGACAGAGAGAGACAAATAGACAGAGGGACAGACAGACAGACAGACAGACAGGCAGGCAGGCAGGTAGGCAGACAGACAGACAGACAGGGAGAGACAAATAGACAGAAGGAAAGACAGACAGACAGCCAGAAAGAAATAGGCAGAAGGACAGACAGGCAGACAGAGAGAGTCCGATAGACAGACAGACAGACAGGCAGGTGGTTAAACAGGAAGACAGACAGACAGGCTGGCAGGCTGGCAGGCAGTTAAACAGACAAGCAGGCAGACAGACAGGCAGGCAGGCAGATAGAGGGACAAACAGAAAGAGAGAGATAAATAGACAGACAGAAAGACAGGCAGGCAGTTAAACAGACAAGCAGGCAGACAGACAGATAGACAGGCAGGCAGGCAGATAGAGGGACAAACAGAGAAAGAGAGAGAAACAGACAGAAAGACAGACAGGCAGGCAGGCAGATAAACAGACAGACAGAGAGGCAGACAGGCAGACAAGCAGGCAGATAGACAGACAGACAGACAAAGACAGACACACAAGCAGACAGATGTACTGAAGAACATGTTACTTTAGCATCTAAATTTCCCTTTGGTTATCAATAAAGTCTGTCTGTCTGTCTGTCTGTCTGCCTGCAGGATTTGTTGTTGTTCACTTAAGTACATTTGGCCTTCAAAAAAAACTCATTAGAAAGCTTTTAAACTTTAAAAGGCCTCTGTTCAAATCTTTGTCTCAGTTTCTGACTTTAGAGAGAGCAGCAAACTCATAACACTGACTGAGAAGATCAATTTAATCAGTGATTTAAAAACCTGATTAAGGGTGACGACTGCACCTCCTTTAGAGCTCCACAAAGTTACTGCCATGCATCTCCTCTGAGGAGCGCTGCAGTGCAGTACAGTACGGTTTCTCATCACTCCAGAGTTTGAAAACAAACACCTTCACTTTCAGTCCAACAGCTCTGATACTCCGAGGACCAACATCTATTAATATAAGAGTGATTTAGTCTTTTTTAGGGGGAGGATGACGTAGGGTGACAGTGTTGCTGGGCAGAAGGTGAAGCGAGGCGAGCAGACAGCGGCTGACTGGATCTGTGAAACTATGTCAAACACACCTCAGCCGCAGTGAAGGAGTGTGAATTGTAACAGCTTTTCTGAGACTCTTCCCTTCAGCTCGGAGAGGTGATAACGAGCGCTACCACTACGACTCCGTCTGCGCGTGAGAGACTCGGCCTGCTCCTGCGTGTTTTACTACCTGTCTCCGTATTCCTGCCGTATTTAATACCATTAACACTCTCAGGTCTGTTTTCAAGGCGACAGACAGGAAAAAAAGACGCTTGAGCTCTGTTTACGTCTGGTTCTGACTTAAAGGGCCAATATCTACACTTTTCTTCTGATTTATTGTTTTTAGCTCCACTTATGACGTTTAATGTTATCATGATGTTTTACGTGACCATTTTCCAACATATCTTTTTTCCCTTAGAATTAAACAGGCTGTTACTGTGCCTTTAAGACTGATATATGCAAATGAGCTCTAATCTGATTGGATGCTCTCATTCAAAACGCAGTAGAGTCTGAAACAATCTTTATAACTTTAGTCTGAATGGGCGGGGCTGAGCTGCTATGAGTGGATGTATGTAAATATGTTGGTTTCAGTGACATCACAAAAACAATCAGTTCTGAGCCGATTCAGCTGATTCCAAGAGAGAGTTTTCTATGATATGAGCCCTTTAAAGTTCACTAAAACTACATATCCCAGCAGTCCATGCTCTAAACTGAATCATGGCATCATTCTGCCTCCCATCACTGTAAAAAATCCACCCTACATTTGTTGGCCTATGTGGTGTTTTTGTTACCTGAACAAATAATTTGAAATTTAACACAACAGTCTTATTATCTGACATTCTATAAACTTCAAATTTATTTAATAAATAGACATTTTTACTATTTATGTACTTTTTTGCTCACCTTACTGAGGTGCAGTGCTAAAACATGTAAAGAGGACTACTGACTAAACTAGGAAGTAGGATTATATATATACCTTGTATCTCCAAAATTATAACTTTACAGGAGAAAGAAAAAAAAAACTACTTTACTTTTAATGCAAGTCAATGGAACCAGAATTCTTTCCAAATAATTTTGGGTCATTTCTTTTAGTTCATTCATCATAAAATTTACACACAATGTAAAGAGCAACAGGCATTTTCAACTTAAACTGAAAAACGTAAAAATGGAGATACAAGGTTTTCCTCCGACAGCAGCGAGTATATATATATATATATATATATATATATATATATATATGGGTGTCTTTACATTGTATTCAAATTCCATGGTAAACAGACTAATTCAAAGTGTGAAAAAGGCAATGAAAACACATAAAGAGATTCAGCGCTCGGTTCTCTGAGGGTTAATTCCAAATACTGGCAGTAACTCAGTGCTGGGGGTTGCCTGAAGGTCCGCCCCGAGACACTATTTCTCTCACATGTGCGTTAGGTACTGTCTTTGACTGCACTGTTGGCGATGACATGCTAATTAGCCCCATTCCTCACAGTCAGAGCAAAGGGAGCTAATGACTTAGCTAAACGGCCATTTAGCCCAACTTAGCAGCCTTAGTGCTGCTGTTTGCCCAGCGCTAAGTCGTAGCTAATTGGGAGGGCAGATTAAAAAGATGAGCATGGCAGGTCTGTAATGGGTCTGACAGTGGAGGCCCCCTCAGGCAATCGTGGATTAGCCGCTAGCGGCCTTGGCTAGCTCCTTTGTGAGGGAAAAGAATTAAGGTATCTTCCCATTAGCCATTGTCTGCGCAATTCTGCATGGTAAATTAAGCGTGAGCTCAAAAAGTAATGCCATACAGTCAAATTCATGAGGTCATTCAGTGTTTGGAGGTGCATAAAGATCTATTCACACTTTTATCTACGTATAAACGTTCCTGAATTATGTTTTTCTTTCACTTTTCAAAGAACTTGTCCTTCTATTCCAAGCCAAGAATGCTTTTTCACTCTGAGCTTTGGCTTCATGCATAATACAGGAAAAGTCATCTACACAAAAAAAGGTGATTGTTTATATGTCAGCTACATATCTTGATTATATCTTCAATAAAACTTAATTAGCCTAAATTGGGCCTTGGCTCAATCTCATTACATCACAGTTACAATGGAACACAATTAGATCTGGGCGTATTGTTCGCTGTTATGTCTCTTTAAGTTTGTGTATATGCGTGACAGTAAAATGCCACAGTTAATCAAAAGCTCATTAGCTTCCTGCTCAGGCCTTTGAATGGCATGTTTCATTATATTAGACCTTCTTCTTTTCTCTCACTCTCTTTTCTCGCGGTGACCGTGACTTATTATAACCTGATTGCACTCATTTCTTCTTTCTTAGGCTGGCTTTACACTGTGCAACTTCAGGTGCTTGAAACCTAGTTGTATTTACTAGGTTGTATACTAGTTGTATGCTGTTTATATAATGCTGGCTTTAAACTTCATGTAAGTAGTTGCATGTTGCCAAGTTGTGTAGAAATTATGTTGCAGGGAACTTTCAATCTTGCAACTAGTATTATGCTGTTAGTCTAAGGCTGGCTTTAAACTTCATGCAATTTAGCTTCATTTGCCTGGAATTTATGTCACAGGCAGCTCACAACATGCAACTAGTTGTATGCTGTTGGTCTAAAGCTGGCTTTAAATTTCATGTAACTTGTTGCATGTTGCCAAGTTGTGTGTAATTTATGTTGCAGGCACCTTGCAATATGCAACTAGTATACTGTTAGTCTAAGGCCGGCTTTAAACTTCAGGCAACTAGTTGCGTACTTCCAAGTTGCATGGAAATTATGCGGCAGGCAACTTGCAACATGCAACTAGATGCATACTGTTGGTCTAAGGCTGGCTTTGAACTTCAGGCAACTAGTTACATGTTACCAAGTTGTGTAAAAATTATGCAGCAGGCAACTCACAACATGCAACTAGTTGTGTGCTGTTAGTTTAAGACTGGCTTTAAACTTCAGCACACAAGTTGCATGTTGCCAAGTTGTGTGGAAATAATGTTACAGGCAACTCATAGCATACAACTAGTTTTATGCTGTTGGTCTAAGGCTGGCTTTAAACCTGATACAATTGGTTGCACATTACCAAGTTGCATGGAAATTATGTTACAAGCAAGTCACAACATGCAACCAGTTGTATGCTGGTAGGCTAAGGCTGGCTTTAAACTTCAGGCAACTAGTTGCATGTTGCCAAGTTATGTAGAAATTATGTTGCAGGCAACTCACAGCATGGAACTAGTTTCATGCTGTTGGTCTAAGGCTGGCTTTAAACCTAATACAATTGGTTGCACATTACCAAGTTGCATGGAATTTATGTTACAAGCAAGTCACAACATGCAACTAGTTGTATGTTGGTAGTCTAAGGATGTCTTTAAACTTCAGGCAACTAGTAGCATGTCACCAAGTTGTGTAGAAATTATGTTGCAGGCAACTCACAAGTTTAAATCCAGCCTTAGACTAACAGCATACACAGAAAAGCTGTTTTACCCTGTTTTCGTGAGCAGATTTCAGCAGACGAAGCCCTCGTTGTTGTTGTTTACCTAATAAGGTAAGAGCTGCTGCTCTGGCCCTCATGCTAATTTCTCCCTCCTGCAATTATCCCCATATAAGGTTGCACAGAGAGATGATAGGTTCTGCTTTACAAATGAAACGTTGCAGATGTCCATCAATTTGCCAAC